TAGAACGAACGACATAGTTTGCCACTCATATAACTGACAGGAAGGAAACTGGTTTCGAATTAAATATTTGAACATTCGGTGAAACGTAACGACAAAACTACCAACATTGCTTAGCCCTTATGGCGTCTTGTTTCGCTTTAAAATCCTCATAAGCTCGTAACATTTTATTCGACCACTCCTCTACCATTGCGACGTATTTCGCTTCATCAACCTTCAATAAATTCATTTTTCCAAACAAATTCATACTGTATTCACCTCTATTCGTCCGGTTCTTTCGGCAATAATGAATATTTGATTACGATTCAAGCAAGAAAAGAACTAAACCAGAAGAAAGTACTCACTTGAGGTTTATCCTCGCAAACTTTTTTCAAACGAGACGCAAATTCTTCAGACGACGTTTCCATTTGTCGCTTCTTTTCTTGGAATACATCGTTCAATTTTTTCAGTTCGTCTTCTAATTTACTCTAAAATAATATTTTGCTTTAAACACACAATCTTTAAAGATATTTCATTTTCGAAACATCAAACTGTAATACAATTTGAAAGAGTGAATGTATTCACGGACACAAACCTGATGTAATGCTAGCGAATGTGCCTGTTTTTGCAACATATCAATACGACTCTGAGCAACAATCGTTCGAGTGTCGGTCACCACATTCCCATTGAAAAGTTCGGCAATCAAACGATGATTACGATCGAACCTTCAAATTTAACGCAATTATCAAGACAGCATCAATATGACAGCAAACGAATGACGGTTTAGCAATGGCACGAAAGCTCCAAATCAAACTTATGCTTTCGAAGATATCAGTACAGAGTGATGTGATATGCATCAGCAGATACTTACGATTATGACGTTTGGATCGATAATCCTCTGGTTAACATGTTTAACGAAAGGNGCCAGACTACAACAAATCTTAACCTCAGCTCAACTCCTGCTTTTGACTGATGCGAGGCTTACCGCAGGGCTTAGCCTAAGACATAAACTTGAACTGAGGATCGCCTCAGTTTACACTAAAGCCTCAGCTGGAGGACGGAGGTTGATCCAGAGTTCACACTAAGGCGTGTAACAACGCCCCTTTCATAAACATGTTAACTTCAAATTCAACGCTTGAATAATATCATAAACTTGATACTATTTAACTTTGAAGAGATTACTTAATGTAATATTCAGAATAATTTCTTCACTACTGATTACTGAATACACAATTTAGTTTATTCAAAATCAATTAATCACTCTGTAATATAAACTAAAGAACAAACCGAACGGCAGCAATTCGACGTGATGATAGATCGCAAACTTCTTCATCTTCTACCGGCTGAAGAACAACACCGCCCGTATCCAAACGTCCTCGACTACCTTCAGTGCATATTCAATTACTTGAAATCACTACAGTTATTAGTAATATTATCACTATTACTAAATTTACCAATTTAAAATCAGCAAGCAATACTTCACCTAGTTGAAATCACCATTACAATTCATCTCATATGAATGCTGAACACGAACATGAAGATTCAGGGGACGAAACTACAGCAATTGAATGAATAAGATTGATTCGGAAGCAAACGATAACTGACTTGCAATAACACCGCCAACAGTATTTGATTTATCAGCCATTTTGGCACGATTTTTTGCTGATAAATACTGTTGATATGCTGTTGAATTGTGATACGCTTTCAACGCTTTGTCGTATTCTGTTTTTTCGATTTCGTATTCCTGAAAGGACGTTTTTGCGATCGTAATTTTGCTTGGAATATATACGAGGAATATTTCAGCTCAGATGCTAGTTATGACACTGACGAATCTATGAAAAAACATCTCAACAAAGGACTAAAAGTTTTTGCTGAGGTTCACATTTAGGCTTTTATTCAAACCTGCGTTCACTTCTACGTAAAAGGATAAGTCTGATAAAAAGCCCGAACTTAATCTTCAACATTGTTAGAAGAGGGCTAACAGTGAGTTATTAAATTTAGTTGATTTTTATAGCCACAATATTTATAGGCAGTGTTATGGAAAGATTNACATTTAGGCTTTTATTCAAACCTGCGTTCACTTCTACTTAAAAGGATAAGTCTGATAAAAAGCCCGAACTTAATCTTCATCATTGTTAGAAGATGGCTAACAGTGAGTTATTAAATTTAGTTGATTTTTATAGCCACAATATTTATAGGCAGTGTTATGGAAAGATTTCGGAAGAGTTATGAACAAATGAAATACCTGTTGATAAACAGATTTTTCGGATTCAGGTGCATCTCTCCACATTTGTCCGATCACTTTACCGATATCCCATAACTGACTATCTGGATGCTCGGATCGAACCTAAATTCCATTACTGAATTATAAAGCAAGGAAGAATGTTAAGATTGACTACTCGTAAATTTCTTATAAAATATTATGTATACTTAAAAAAGAAATTAACCTTCGCCCACATTTTACGACTGAAACGCATGTACGGCACAAGGGGACGATCGGGAGCCTTTGGAGGCTTCAGGTTGCCAGAATCCTGGAAATTACAGCTAATGGTTGGGATCAGACGAACTGGCTATGAAATCAATAAATCAATTTTTATTCAGCAGTTGAATTTCTTCATCATGAGTGTCTTTTCGATAACATCGAATCGTTATCAGGCAAGAGTGCTTCAACTTAACTCCGGAAATCTGATTACGGAATTTACGGTGAGACAAGCGAATTTCTGATGCTAACTGTGAAATTTGATTGATGATTTAAAGGAACACATTTCTACCTGTGTGGATGGACGTGAAGGTGTTGAATTGGGATGTCGGAACATTGCCGATTTTGAAATATTGATGCTATGCGCACCGAACAAGAGTTTAATTTATTGATAAAATTTCAATTCTGTAATGGAACTAAATTTCTCTGAACGTTTTTTGAGAAAACGAAAAGCATTCACGTCAGCGTAAGAATAATCATAGCATACATTCACGCATACAAACAAAAGCATTCGCTAACAATCCCACAATCCGGCTACAAAACATTTGTACATATAAAAATCTGATCGTGAGGTAAAAATGACTCAATTTTCGAACATCTCCATTTAATACAACTTAAATATGAAAGATTTCAGTTGTACGCGAGGAATAAGATGATAAGCATTATGGAAATTCAAGCTATAATCCCAAATAAGACAGTAAAATCCTTTGGACCAGAATTGTTCTCAGTAATTTCAGTTCTCAGAATATTCTCACATTTCGGGTTAGTCCTCTAGCTCAATTTAATAAAGCCTTTTCACTTTTCCAGGCTCATCTTGAGACTTGTTAAGGTCTCAGCTAACAATAAAAGTCTGATTGAGATTTTCGCACACAACTTAGGCTGAATAAATCTGAAGCATATCCCAATCGTCGAACAAAAGCTGTTTACTTTTAGACAAACAGAAGTCAGATTGAAAAACTAACACAACAACTTTAGAAGAAACGAAATGAAAATTGATGAAAGTTTACGTGAATCAATAAGTCAACGAAATCCTAAATGAGAAACGCGGGTAACGGATCAAAATTGAAAATTACAATCAGAGGTACTTATGCTGATAACGGGCGCCACCGCGCCATCACAGATGCTCGTGTGCTCATACGCATCACACATAAGTCGAAGCCTATGCGTTAGCCTCATCACCAGGCTAAGCGTAAGGAAATCAAATGAAGCGAATTGAAACTTCATCAGTACCAACAAAAACTCATCGAAAATTGTTTTCCATCTCAAAATTTGATTGAGCGATTCATTACAACTGTTAGGTGTGACAAAATGTTCTTGGACAGTTAGACCCGAAATTTCAAAGTTTGATGACTCGGCTTAAGGAATTTACTGGCTTGACTGCGTTTACCATATTAAAATTAGCATTTACGCAAAACACGCTCTGAATTGCTATATTTATCCTACGCTTATTTACGTGAAACTTTACGCGAACACAGATATGAAACATTTTCATATCCATCCTAACAGAGCATAACGTTATAAAATTTAAAACGGATTCATATGCGCTCAACACGACCGTTTTTATCATGTTTACTTAAGAGATGAATAAATCCGCACTAACTTCATGAAATACTTACATCAGCCACATTCGTACACCACTCAGTTTCGAATAAAACCTTGTCATTCGCGGATGAAAGTTTCACTCGAAACGGATTGTTGTATCATTGCTGTATTGATGTGCCGAGCATGAGCCAGGCTATGATTTGATTTGTATCTAATTATCTGTTTAAAATACGTTTATATATTTGACATTGAACGATTGCAGGTTCGTTTATGAATTTACTTATAATATCAACGTAGTCTTTGAGAGGATATGAGTGGTGTATTCAATCGATTCATAAGGCTATCTTCTCTGTCTTCACCAACTACATCAAAACGTTCATCTGTAAATCTGTTTTCTCGATTCCGGCAATATCTTTCGAATATTCAACACACAGTTCGATTTTCGGCGAATGATTCACGCAGTTCATCCGATTCCATGTACGTTCACCTGTTCTTTAAATGAAATTTTGTTCATTGTCGCAAAGAAATAAAGAAGGCACTGGAGAAAATGGATTGATCCTATTGAACACCTTTGTCAAATATTAAACCAATATCAAGTGTGAATATGACGGGATATCTATTAAGTTTTTCGGGAATGTAGATTATAAGAAGTGGGTTGGTTAGCCGTTTTTGATCAGTTTGCGTGAGGGGATTTGCTTGTCAAATAATTGAATAATTGAGATCATAACAGAATTCGACATGAAAGTCTTGATGAAAACATCCAAAAGCTGTGATCAATTGGAATTCAAGGGGAAAAAAATAAGATTATATCTCAATCCTTCGGCTCAGAACAGATGAATCAGTTCAAGTTATTCGGATAAAGAAGAGCTTAATTTCAGTCCAGAGATGTCTCGTAGTAAGGATTCACTGATTACAAAAACAAGTATGAAAATACCAGATTTGAGTGTTTTTGTATGGCGTGATATGCCGAACAAGAACAAAGAAAATGGTGCAACGAACAGGTAAATATCACTAAGAAGTTTTATTCACTTTAGAAATCAAAAATTTATCCTCTTAGCCGTCAAAAATTTCTCATCGACTGAATCTTTGTGGATTTGATTGGCCATTTAAAATCGACTTTTCAAATCCTAGTATCTAGTTTTCTAATCATTTCAGTGAGACCACAATGTTTATATTCGTGAATTTTATTCTGAAACATACCAAAAATTCATATGTTCATTTATAATGCATCATTAGTACATACGGATTGCAGCATTGGTCGCATTCCATCGGATATATCGATTGTATTCGAATACAACGTATTGGAGGATGACCCCACGTCCACTCCACTTGTAGCATTGCGTCGTTCGTTAAGTGACAAGTTTATAAATACACAGCAAAGATTAAGGCTGCGGTTAACGGGTGGTACGAAGAAGAAACGGAAGGGATTGAAGTTGAATGACTCTGATCTGGTGGCGATTAACGTGACTGGCGTGGATAATGCAGAATTGGTTCGTTTATTACGAGTAATATTTTTTTAAAGAAAATTTTGCTAGAGACAGACAATTAATTGCCCGGTCCAGAGCAACATTAACTCACAATCAGTGAGATCACATATCACAACTACCTTATTGTTAGGATAATCCCCATAATAGTTGTGATATGCTTTAGGTAAGAAAGTGTTTCATGAATGTACTGAAATCTATTTCGGTGTCCTTCATCAAATAATTCAAGCAATTCTTATCATCACTTATGATATCTTTTAAACCCAGTTCGCTAAAAGTAATGTTCAAGCTGCAAAATAGTTTGAAATTCTATAAGTGGGGAAGGTTTGTATGAGGAATTATCTCACAACTGGTTTCGGTGGACTGTCACTCTAACAGTGTCAGCCTCTAGGGAATAATCTTGTTGATTCATAAGGGAAATTGAGACAGAAAATGCAGATTTGGTAGAATTAATTTTGCAGCTTTCATCGACGAACGAAGATATATTTTTCAATAACGCCAATGTGAATTCACTACGAATTGGTGATAAGGAATATCGATTGATCAGAAACGCTTTGGATTGTTCCAGTCTATCAGTGGCGCTGAGACCGATCGTGGGATGTCCCTTAATGGCTAGCTTCGATATGCGTTCCGGTTGGATCAATCATCTCTTAATTCATACCTCTAAGACCAAAACCCAGTTTTGGCTTTGTCGTTATTGTGGTCTTGATATGAGAACCAATACAAAGAACATATAAGATAACACTGAATTAATGAAATTTATCCTCATAATTCCATCCGTTTAAACTGTATGCAACTTTTCCAAACATCACTTTCATGAGGGGATACAATTAAGTTCGGCCTAATCGACCTGAATTTATTTATAATACCTCCGTTCGTTTTCTCTTATGTCTTCATTACGTAAGCTTGAGCAGAAAGTAGAGAAAACATTTTGGCAACTTCTGGAATATCATGTTTGACCATTCGTCAAAAAGATATTTCTCGGTTCTTGTCATCAACAATTTACTATTAAAGGTTCAAAAGAATATGAACCGGTATTCCATTGGTACGTTGGAGCAGAATCGCAATCAGCTGTGAAACCAGAAGAAATTGAATCGTCTGATAAAGGTTACTTACAAACTGTTGGATTTTTAAAAATGTGATCATTAAGAGATGAACGAAAAAGCGAATGTGTAATACTCGTTGAACAAAATAATATAAATCATTGGTATGAACCAGTTATATCACCATTTCACTTTTCAACTTACTTCAGGCAGTAGATCCTTCAATTTGCCTGGTTGGCAATGGCGTCATCGAGGCCGTTTCTTCGTACCGGACGAAAAAGATATCGGTAAACGAGTTTGCGTTCTCATCGACTTGGGTCGAGACACGATCACGCGGTGTGCCATATCCACTGAACTGATCAGCAATAGGCCCGAAGAACCGTACATCTTTGAGAGGCGACAGGCTGACTACTGCACTGAATGGCAACAGGACGGGTATTTGGTTATTATTATTGTCAAGATTAGTGCACTATCGAAATGTCATTAGTCCGATAGGTGAGAAAGAGTGATGGGAGAAAGAAATTTTATCGATTGATATCATAAACCTGAAATCTATGGGGGCATTTTTTGGAACATCCAGCAAGCACAACGATGGGTTTGATGAGCGCCAAACGAACAAAATTTATTTTGAATAGTAGCATCTGATTGTTCCCCGTTGTACTATACGTTTATTCGAAACTCGTTTCATAAACTAAAATGAATTTTGATGCCATAATGTCAAAAGTTTACTTAATTAAATGGCTTTTCAACTCATAAAATTGTCGATACATTTGATGCAGTTTTATGTTTTTATTGAGAAATTATGAGTTCGTCACTGTCTAGTCCTTCCTCTATTCTTCTTAACAGTTCAATTCGTCAACAAGAAGTATTTCGAGTTCGTCTTCAGTGATAAACCGTTTACAGGTTTCGTGTGATGTCATACAATATCCTTGCTGCACTCTATCTGAATTTGGAGCAGGAACAGGAAGATTTATTTTTCCCGTATTGTCCAAAAGAATATCAGCTGTACGGATATCGTTATCCAATGTTATTGCGTGAAATACCAGGTGTGATGATCGCAAACGTTTTTTTCTGTTGCTTGCAAGTATTAAGAGCTAGTTTTTTGATTTGAAGACATTAGTATACATTTCGTGACGTGTTAAACTGTTGTATGAATTTATGACTATGACGGTGGAATTAGTTTATTTTGAATGAATGGAACATTGAGTTATGAAGGTAAAGGAATTCCAACGAAAGGATTTATTTGATATAAGGACCCATCATTCAGCTGCCCAAGAAACTTTATTTCATGAGTGATGTACGGATGTAAGGAAATAGATTCATGATGTAAAGAGCGGTTTGAAGACTTCGTTCATTATTTGATTTGAGATGTATTTTGCTTTGATTTGAGGATATAAAGCGGATTTGATATTTCTGCAAGAGGTTGACGATCGTTTGCAAATGCGTTATTTACCTGCACTGCTACGTGAATATGGCTATGAGTGTTACTTCAAGAAGAAAGCTATTCAAGTGAATGAAGGTCTTATGATTTGTTTTCGTAGAAAACATTTCAGGTCAGTTTTTTGTTCTCTTGAAGCAGATAAAGATATTCAAGAGATTGTACAACGTTTGTTCGAATCACTGAAACAGTCATTGGTGCCTTACATTAATGTTGCTCAAATTGGCTTCAAGAAGAGTGGATTCTGGAAATTGCATGGGCTAGTGGAAAGCTCTTCTCTATAAGAACTCCTGCTTATATGTCAAGAAGAAATTTCCATTTCAGATATAAAACCTCATCATTAGTTGAAATGATCACATCGTTTATGGTAAATTTTTTAGGCTTCTTGAGACGTACGACATGTGGTTAACGGATCTGCTGGATTTGGAGAAATTTCCCGAGAATGAAGAAATTGTGAATTTACTCGAACGAGATCCAGCAGCTAAAAATCTTTTCGTCACAAGACCGACCGTAATTCAGGTTTATTTTTATTGTTTTATCACTTATTGGACGTGTTTAGCATATCTGAAACATTATATACGGGATTGGTTCGAGATACCCAAACAATCTATTTAGTGTTATAAATGTAAAATAAATGAGGGAATATGAATGGTGAAAAGAATCTTGCAGTAACATTGCTATTCATTAAGGAATTTGTCTCATTTTCAGCTGGTTTCATTGGGTGTTTCGAAAGACTGCGATTCTGTGGGCGGGGATGGAAGAAGTGTGATATTGGCAGCGAATACACATTTGTACTTCGACCCACGGCATGAACACATCAAAGTATTGCAAACGCTTTTGTGTGCGCGTTACATTGCCAGGATCAGTGCTCATCTGCAGAGGTCGAATCCGAATTCGAAAGTTTATCATCTTTTTGGAGGTGATTTCAATAGTACACCCGAAGGAGGTGTTTATGAATTGCTCACGCAAGGTTGGCTCTCGTTTTATGTAGTATTCTTTTATTACCGCATTCAGCACTGACTCATTAAGTACATGAAAGGAGGATAGAATCGCATTGTATTCATACATTTTTAAATTCAGCAATGTTTCGAGCAAAAAGTTTTGTTCTGAATGTAATAAATTAAAAGGAATTTAGAATGATGAATATTTGTTCATTTGTAAAACGTTTGATAAAACATTTGATGACAGAACAAATACGCGATAGGTTATGATGATTTGTAATTCAGGTGAAATATCAAAGGATAATGAATGTTGGAAATGTAATGAAATGATGGGTGGTGCAACTATGGGAACTGCCTTTGAGAAGAGGAATAATATCAAATTCACGAGTTTAGTGGATAATCCAGAAGTGACGAATTATACGCGATTCGAAGGACCGAATGGTGAAGAACGTGGTTTTGAGGGATGTTTAGATTACATTTGGGGCAGTGATAATGTCAAGGTATGTCCCTCAACCACATATCTCATAAATTTAATTCAAAAAATAATCAATATCAAATTTATAAAGCACTTATATCGGTTGAATCCGTGTATCCATCTGTGTATTTAAAGAACCGAACGAAATGTTTGCAGTTTTGTTATAACTGTAAGCTAAGACTGATAATAATGTGACGCAGGCACGTAGACCAATCATAGAATGGATCCTAGATGGAATTAAATTTTAAAGTGTATTTCGTCGAGCAAAAGAACAAATTACTAAGAGAGCAAAAAGTACCCTCAGAGAGGGATAGAAACGAGCGAAATTTTCCGGATTGCAGGGGTGACAAATTATTAATTTAAGTATTGAGGATAGCTGTTTCATAAAAAAAAACATAAAACTAAATGTGAAACGAAATAGAAATAATTGACAGTCAGTGGTGGATATGCACGTGAAAGGATTAATTTGCAGGTGAATTACGTCATTCCGATGCCATCCGATAAACTCTTGTCGAAGCACACGGCGTTGCCGTCGGTGATAGCACCAAGCGATCATTTACCAATCATGTGTAATATTGCTTTGGAATAATTTCAGTTATCTAGTTGTGTTATGCGATATATTGTTGTATATAGTGATTATTGCAGAGAATTCTGATAGTCTGTTTCAAATTAAATTCTTGGATGGATCTTGTTTAGTTTACTGCGGATTTCATTTTATACGTTGGGAAGTATTTTGACGAGAAGATTTCATGTTTGCTCTATATTTCGCCATTAATCTGTTTATTACGAAAAAATTATATAAAAGTTCGACGAAACGTCTGATCGCATAAAACGATATCGTAAGTGTGCAATATGTCGAGGTATAAGGCATTTGGGGATTCTTCGGGCTGATAATCCTAGTGGATGATGTATCGTTGTAGAAATACATCCAACGAGAGTTTCGAAACAGAATTATTGCATGGATTTCTAATTACTGCACTGAACGCCTCATAAGAAAAGTGAAAGTATTGACT